ATATATAATTTATATAGTTATTTCATAAATAGAAATTGCCAAAGCTTTGAAGTTTTTTTGACTTTTTTATTAGAGTAGGATGTTGTTCGAAAAAATATACATATAGGAAATAACTATATAAATAAATATTCGTATATGTTATATGTTAAATTTAAGAATACTATTTTTCTTTTAAAAAAATGTGCAAAAAACTATTAAGTAACGAATATATTACTAACAAATGGTGAACTGAATAAATAATTAATTAATTATGACTATAAATATATTAATATTAGACTATTAGCGTGAGTGCACTTTGTCATATAAAATTGATATGAACAATTAATTCTCATGTATGTGAAAACAAGTTTTAAGCTATAAATCCCCAACTTATCCTTTCTTATTAGAGTAGAGCATGTTTTTTGACATTGTGATGATCTATAATCAATTATATGCACATTATAATACACAAAAGATGTAATGCTGTGCGTTATATTCACATGACCAAACATTAAGGGAAGAGACCAGCATAAGACAGTCTAAGAAACCGCAGAGCTGATCTTGTAAGACACACGGCTCACTGGCTCACTGACTTAAAAACAAGATATGTGGTGCTGTGGTTAAGCAGACCTGCATTTTTATATCTGAAATATTTTCATATTCTTGACTGAAGTTATGTAGCATTAAGTGCTACAGTACAGTATGTATATCACTATTACGCATATACAAACAACCATACATACCATAAGAAGTATAAGAAGTATATAAGTGTAGCAAATACAAGATTTTACGTTGTAATAAAACAATTAAAACAGTAGCAAAACCATAGCTTGGCTAACTTTTATTTTGTATCTGGCGAGTGAAAAGTTGTAAGTTTATGAGTAAGTTTTGCATACTTCACTTAGTCGACTTGCTGGAGAATTTTACTACTACGGCAAAATAGAGAATACTAAGTGCTCATAAAAAAAACAAGTATGAGAAATTAAAAATATGAAAATATGTAAATTGTTTTAAATTATAATATCATAATAAAAATAATGAAATGAATGAAATGAATGATAGCTGGCTGCTCTGTTCTTTGAACTCTAAATTCATGATAAATGCTCGTATTTTATGTAGCAGATAAATTTCGAATATCTCAATTGAATTGAGTGTGAGAAGTGTTTATGAAGATAACTTTTATATAAACAAATCTAATTTATGTACGCTAGCATATTGACCCATGGTTTCTTGAAAGTTTGTCTGTGCGTGCGAGTGTGTGGTGTGAATGATTAAAAAAATTTTCAAGTTAACTAAGAATTTTCGGTAGAAAGAAATATTGCATAATATTCAGTAAAATCTAAATAAACATTATTTTCCAATAAATTTGGGAATTTTTTTCTTAGCTTAAATATAACAAATGGTGAAATATACTTTAAAAATGTACGAAATCTCTGCAGGCAATGCGGAAATTGCTAATACAAAATTTTAAAATTTTTATCTTAACATTATTTTCATTTTATTTATATATAGAAATTCATTCTTTATTTATAAAAAAAAAATAAAATTATAAATTTCCTAATTCATTATGTTATTTTCTCCCAAAAACAAAAAAAAAATAATAATAGTGTTTTTTTTAAATTTATCTCTGAGTCACAAATAGACAATAAAAAAAATATATTTCAAAATTTTATTTTATCTGATCTGTTAATTACTTGAGAAGCTAATCTTCAAACATAAATTGAATTAGTTAGTGAGTTAGTTGTCTTCAGATTTAGTAGACGTTAATTATAGCATGGATTGATTTATCATATTCTAAGGAGTGTAAGTAGTTAATATTCCTTAAAAACAACATTCTATGAGAAGCAGATATCTAAATGAGAGAGTTGATATTTAATTGGGATTGAGCTATAAATTTGAAAGTTCTTAATTAGAGACAATAAAAAGTGCTATATAACTAATCACTATGAAAGTCATATTATAATAATTAAAAACAACTATGTTTTCCTATATAATTTAGGTGTTGAAAAATTAGTTCAACATTTTTCCCAAAACAGATATTGGGTTTAAGTTAACACTTAAACTGGGTGAGGTGATTAAATTCTAACTTTTTCAAATACTATAGGTAACTTTTTTACCTTTTATTTAATTATTTTGAACTCAATAAAAAATTAGTCATTTTCGGTTTGTCCGCTAAAATCCCCAAAAAAAAACCCAGAAATTCATTATATGCTGCTATAAAGTAGGTCTATGGTGTTTTAGCTTATTCCCGAAGACACATCTATATGTACAATCCAGAAATTACATAACTTTATAAGTATTTGTGTTTTTATGCCGGGTTTTTGGCTTTTTTTTTATATTACTTCAAGTAAGACAGAAAATGTGCGCATATAAATACGGAAGAATATAAACGGAATAAATATAAAAGAAATATATAGAATAAAAATAAAAGTACTTATTTTTTCAGTTCAACCAAAACTTAAAATTTATTTATTTAAAGCCAATTTTTCGGTCTACTAAGTAAAACGAATAATGCCATCCTCAGTATTAAAAGAAATTCGATTTATAAATATGTATAATATATTTGCAGTTTTTGTAATGTTTAAAATTAATTTAAATTTTAAATATTGATTTGTTAAACCTCCGTACAGTACAGTACTAACAACTTACAGATTAAAAAAAGTAGATGCTTCAGATGACCTTGTTCCTGAATTCCATCTTTTATAATTTCATGGGTTTAATCAGAAGTATAGTGTATATTATTGGCTTCTTAAAATATTAATCTTTTCAGAGTATGTTCATTCACTTTTAAAGAAAATATTTAAGCAACATTGTAGTATATATCTTCGGATACATCAGTAAACAAATATCTTTGGGTCTTTCTTGCACAATATGCTACAAGTGAAGTTATTAATAAAAGTGCATATAAAAGTAATATAAATAGTAAAGTAGAATATTAATATTTTATTAGTAAAATAACAATAAAATAATATTTATATACATATTGAAGTATATGGTATTGAACCTCATCATTTAACTAGATATCACTTTAAATAAGCAGACTGACTTCCAACTGTTTTAGAGCCTAATCACTGAACTTAAGACGTTACCGACTACAACTAGAGAGATAGAAGTAATTGTGTCTCATTATTGAGCAAGACATCCATTCCGTTAAAACAATTGATTGATATCCAATTGTTTAAGTTTCCAATCACTGAACTTCAGACGTTCTCAACTATTATAAAGACGAAAGTAAGCCTCGACATTAAACAAAATATGGTGCTAACAATATTTATTGACGTCCAACTGATTAAACAGTGGTCAAGCTTTGAACTCGGGACTTTAAGGATGATTCTTAAATATCTTTAATCTTATTTTAATTTAAAGATCCTTTAACCAAGCATCTTTCATGATCGTTTCTTTGATTTAAATTTCTACAACAATTATATTTTGATAAATTCATGCTCAAAACTTTACATGCCTAAAGTTTTTGACGGATTTCCTTTGAACTGGACCATAAATAGATATATTAGATTTTTTGTAGTATAAATATTTTCAATTTCGAGCAATCTGTCTAGGACTAAGAATATATCTGTTGGCTTTGAGTACAAAAAAGTACTTGAACTTCTCTTCCGAGTTTATCTAAAATTTATTTGGTGTTAGTATTAGTAATTAAATAAATAGTAAATACTGTTAGTATAAGGTTATAGATACTCACTACTTTACTTGTTTGAGTTTATACTTTATTTATAAAGAAACTTAATTTTGAAAGTTGAAGTTCTGTACAATTAATATAGACTAAAATATATTTGTTGAAATTAAAAAAAATTACAGAGCGACTAAGTTTTGAATAATGAAAATTTAAATATGTTCATTGATATTTAAAAAACTTTATGAAATTCTTAGTCCTTTACTCAAGTCGTCATTCAATTATATATCTCACCTAACTCCTGTTGTTTGAAAATTTAAAAAACTAAAACTTAAAAATTAATTTAGATTTCAATTTGAAATTGCATTTAAATGGTTTTGTTAATGATGTAGATAATTAATGTCTACTTCGACAACTGAACGGAACCGCACATTTAAATAAAAATGCACAAGCTTCAACCAATTTCTACAGAAACATATTCTCGGTCCTTTCAACTGGCGTTATTTTGCCGCTTGCATTTGTCAGATGTGCCTGCAGCTCAAAGATAAATTCGCTCACAACCGACCAACAACAACAAGTGAACTATGCTAAGCGGCTTTTTAAACTGTCATATATGTAGGTATGTACGTACTTTTATTAAAGACAGAACTTCAATGGCACATAAAAAACAAATATTTGTTAATGACTTTTATTCTGATTCGGTGGGGCGATGCACTTCAGTGGGAACTTGTCACATATGCTGCCATTGCTGCGTGTAAACACATAATTTGCATTTTTAATTTAATTTTAACTCATTTTGTTGAATGTGATAAGTTGCACATGTTGAATTAACTTCAGCTGTGCAACAATCAAAACTATGTGGCTTCAAAACTATCTACGAAAATCACTTTGAAATCATTTCCATGTCGATTTAACTGTTCACTCAGTTATTGGCCTTCCAAATGTATCTGAGTTTATTGCTGTTTTAATTACCTGGAAGCTGAAATTCGTGTTGTTTGCTGCCAGATACGAAATATTAGGAGCTACCGGTGTCTTACTTAGTATTCCTGTTAGCTGCTTGTAGAATGCCTTATCTAATATATTGAAATTGATTAAATCCCTTAGTATGCAGCTTTTCGAATTTGTATATATTCATCTTGTGTTTCACATTAGATACGAAATATTTAAATGCT